AGAGGTATTTGGTTGGCATAAAGGTCCAAATAATAACAAGTTATGGGAAACTATGTATCCTCCTCATTGTTTATTTTTGAACTGTTATCCTTCTCTGTTCTATGCAGGTCTGGCAGAAAGCTGTGGTATGAATGACATGTAGATTAACGAGAAAAACTCCCAAGCCAAGCTGCTGAAAAGAGGCCGGTCCGGACAGGCCGGGGATCAGCGCTGGGCGCCCCAACCGTCTGCGGACTCCTGGGCCCTGGTTTTCTATGTCGCTTCAAGATTGGCTGCTCCGTCCAAGTGGACGCAGGGGTGGGACAAAGGATGGCATTTTACTTCTCAAGACATGCACCTGTGTCGAAGGAATATCCTCGAAGAAGACACTTACAGCTCAATTGTCCAAACGAATAATTTTTGCTAGAAAAGGTGTTGTGAAGAAAACCTAAGCAGGAGACCCTGTCTATCTGTACGTTCGAAGAAATGTGGATGAGCCTCTTTGGGGGGGAATTTGGGCTTAACTAAAATCGTGCATTTTCCTACCAATAGCCTATTCTAATTTGTTTGGTAATTTCGGGCAAACCTCACATTTATTCGAATCATCGTGATGAGGCAGTCCTGCTGTATTTTACAAAGCCTTTTCAGGCCCGCAAGTAAGAAATATAAATTGAGAAATGCCGAGGAAGTGAGTGAAGCTTTTTCCTTTGGAGGGGCGGTGGGAATAGAGGAAAGTTTATGAAGGGGACAGAAAAGTCAAGAAGAAAGGTACCATATGTGATAGCAAATCTTCACCGCAACTTCAGACAGAGGGAAAAATATCAGAGCAAGTTACTGTGGAGGCATTTCCTGTTTAAGTGCCCTTCATAAAATTGCTTGATTTTTATTTGGTGGGGAGGGATTGCCAGATCCTTTCTAAAAACATAAAGTGTCACGTTTTATAAAGTTATAAAAAATGAAATGTCCCTTCATGAAAAGTACTGCTGTATTAGATTTGAGAAGTCACACATCTTGTGATTTTCCAAAACTGCTGAGAAGGAGCACTTGGTACTAAATGCTTCTATTGTCATGTGGGCCAGGGAGACACTGGCCAGTCTGGCACCTCTCCTGCCGTCTTCATAGCCGGGGAATTGAACACCCCTTGCCTCGGGCTGCCTGTCGGCTCTGTGTGGACAAGACACCTCCCACCTCTAGGTATGTTTTGAAATTTGTAATTTACTAAGCACTAGGAATTCCTCAGGAAAAAAAAAATGGGCTTTTTATATAGTATTAGCATCTTAAGACAGTCTAGTACTACTATATCTTAAGTCGTTTAAATCTTAAAACATTCCTCATTCTTGAAGTATGTTTTCAAGTGCTGGTCCTTTAAAAAAAATTCTTTTTATTAGAATGCCCAAAACAACCACTTTATTTAGAATTCGCCGCCCAGAAAGTGTCAAAAAGATGTGTTGTATGATACCAATTGACCAGGAAGCTCATATTTCAGCTGATAGTTTTAATATTGTGTAGAAAGCCAAAGCCATTCTTAAAAAACTTTTATCTAAATATGCCTTATTAATGAGGGCTTCAGCTTAACAGAGGTCAATCTTGGGCAAGTCTAAAGAGGACAAGTAATTGGAAGTACTAGAATGATAAACACAGCAGATTAGGGGAGAGCCCAGAGTGGTTATAGAAATTCAACCAATGTGTTGTCAAGGCGTGCTACGAGGGGCTGTTCTTGTGCTTAGGACAGATTCTTAATATATTAAAGGAAAGCATTAGTTAAGAATAATATTAAAATATGTTTCAATCCTGAACTTCTCCACTTACATGTGAAATTAATTGTGTTCTCAGGCAAGTTTTTTTAAAAAGTTTTTAAATGTTACAGTTAAAAGGTTACCCCATTCAGCATGAAATTCTTTTGATATGTCTGGAAGCTATCATGGAAAATAACATTTAAAAATATGTAGTAGATAAGAGTAAATTTTCTTTGGGGCAAAGAGTAATTCAAAACATTTTTTTTTTGTAAATAAAAATGGAAAGTTTCCTTAACTTGATTTTCAGGATACATTTATTACTAATATAATTTTGACCTTCGGTATATGTCTTTCAAATACAATCCTTTGGGGATAAACAGAGGTGGAAACATCAGTCTAATAATCAGTAGAACATAGTCTTTTTGTAATAGAAGGGCGTGGTCAGTGTTGATATTTCTACTTTAAATAAAAAATCAAATGTGAAAATCTACTTTCTCTTAAGAAACATTTCTCTAACTTCTTTCTAATTATAGCAACTAAGCCTATTTGATATAATTTTTTTAGCCAAAGTTTCAAGTCATTAATACATACATATGCTTGAGACATAATAGGCTACCCTTCCCAATGTGTGTGGTGTTGCCAACACACAAACAACACATGTTCATGTGGCAGATAAATGGACTAGAACCTGTGCACTTATAAAACTCAAAATACAAGACAAATTTTAAATCGTCTCAGTAATTGACACTTCACACACATGCAGTGATACAATGTTTAAACTGAAAAGGGAGGAAAAGTGCCAAATTAGTGTCCCTATGACTGGTGTACTCTACTTTTAGAGAAAGCTTTTTAGTCCACAGCAATCCCAAACTCTTTCTACTTGTGTGATTGCTAATAGACAAGTGTCTTACGACAAACGTGGTGTGTATTTACAAAGCAGCAGCGCTTATATACACATGCTATCATTTGCAAGATGAGACCGGTTCATTTTATTTTTGCGAGAACAATAGTTATCTGGATCTTCTCACCCATAGGAATCAGCTCTCAGTGTGGCAGGTGTTCTGTCTAAACCATTAGCTTGAAGTAAGCAATCTAACTGTACTCATTTGCAGGTAGACTGGAGAAAAATACCCATAGCATACTTTGCGATGATTTAACAATGGCACTTTTGCTTTTTAGAATTAATATCTGCAAAGTATGACTTCTCAAAGCATTGATTTCTATTAAAATTTTGGGATGTTCTTCTCCTTGGGAGTGACAAATCCTGCCTGTAGTGTCTTTTTCTCCATGTCTAGAACAGATTCAGATACCTTAATACAGCTGATAACACAGACGACCTAGGACGTGCAAAGAGGGAGAAGTCAGTTTTGTAATAATATTTAAGTTTAAAACATCTGCTTCTATTTTGAGTCTACTGAAAATTTTAGTGAATAATATAACCAACTAATGGAAATAATCCCTAGCACTTATAAAAGAAATCAAAAAAATAGAATATGACCCCCAGAAGCAAAATCTTTTCTGCTAAATCTCTGATATCTTAAAACATTCAAATCTAAGATGATTCGATCACTATAATACATTTTGAACAAAGTAAAGATTTTTTGTGGGGGATTTCTTAGGATTTACTGACTGTATACCAGGCATTATTTCTGAAGATACAATAGAAACTCTTGGGAGTCCATAATCATATATTATACATTAAGAGAAAAAGCACTCCATCAATTTAAGATAATCTAACAATATGACTTTAGAAAATATTTATTCTTTCTTTTCTCCATAACTGAACAAATTAGTATCTGCCTGGTTCTATCACTAATAGAGCACACTGTGATTTTTTTTCAACTCTTTTTTTTACTTCCAAGATAAGGCCTTGATCACTTGCACACTGGCATTTTTTAAAAAGTTTTAAAAGAAACCATGATAATGATGAAAGACTATCATAATGATAAGTTCAAGAGTTAAAAACTAAAACAAAGCAAAATTACCACATTTAAAAAACTAAGAAAGTCTTAAATACTCAAGTGTTTTTCATTTAAAAATATTCTAAATACTTGCTTACAATGTAAAATACTTTGAATTTTTTCGTATTGAACACTTTGTGGGCATGGCAGTAAGGAGCAGGTGTTTGATCTGATTGTGTCATGGTCAGGCTCACAGGGACGGGTCATGGGATTAGTGAAGCAGCTGTTCCACTTCCTTTGAACATCCTAATGGCGACTTTCTAAAGAAGCACCGCTTGCTACAGAGGCTTCCGTGGCATGTTTTCCATAACCAAATAAATGGTCATGACCTACAATTGCATAATAACAGATGGATTCATCTACCACTTCCTTAAATCCATTAATAGCTTTATCTTTACATCAACCCTCACTCCACGTAACACGTAACACAAAGCCTGACACCTAACAATTCCTTTTGGGACTTTTAATGATACATGCAGTGACACTAATTACCTAATCCACTCCTAAACGTATTCTGATATTTATATGATGAACAACAAAAATAAACAATGCATCAAAGGACATTATTAGTGAGAAAAATCTCAGAATATCAGAGTTGTTAAGGATGTAAGAGATTAGATAATCCAATATTCTCATTTGACGCATGAGGATACCTGAACTGAGTCGATGCCTGTCTCAGGTGGCTTTTAATCGACTAGAAATGAATCATATATCTAAATCTTTCTATTCCCCACACATTACACTATTTATCAAAAGTCCTTCTGAAATGTATAATAATCATAT